TAGTAGTAGTAGTAGCAGCAGCAGCAGCAGTAGCAGTAGCAATCAGCAGTAGCAGTAGCCGTAGCCGTAGCCGTAGCAGTAGCAGTAGCAGTAGCAGTAGCAGTAGCAGTAGCGGTAGCGGTAGCGGTAGCAGCAGCAATACAGTAGCAGCCGCAGCAGCAGTAAAAGTAGGAGCAGGAGTGGGAGTGGTAGGAGTACGAGTAGGAGTAGGAGGAGGAGGAGCAGGAGGAGCCGCAGGAGCAGGAGGTGCAGGAGAAGCAGGAGGAGTAGGAGGATAAGCAGAAGTAGGAGTAGGAGTAGGAGTGGGAGTTGGAGGAGCAGCAGGAATTGCACTAGGAGGAGGAGGAGCAGTAGGAGCACGAGAAGGAGTAAGAGCAAGTAGGAGAGTAGGAGTAGGAGGAGTAGGAGGAGTGGGAGGAGTGGGAGGAGTGGGAGGAGTAGGAGTAGGAGCGGGAGTTGGAGGAGGAGCAGGAGTTGCAGTCGGAGTAGGAGGAGAAGCAGGAGGAGGCGGAGTACGAGCAGGAGTACGAGTAGGAGTAGGAGTAGGAGTAGGAGTAGCAGTTGAGGCATAGGACAGTGAAGGCGCTTCTAAAAATCAGCACACAAGGAGCGATTGGCGCTCGGTCAACACATGAAGTGAGATTCTTGTCGAAGCCCAAGTCCTCAGCCGTCGGCCCTCAGCCCGCCCCCCCCCCAACCAAGCCACCACGGACAACCGCAGCTGGTCATCAAAGAGACCCCAGACTGTTCAACTCAAAGTCGTAAGGTTATTTTCGTCCAAACTCCCAATCCGATCCTTTGGAGAGAAATCCCTGCCGCTTCAGCTGCCGCAAGGATGACAGCGAGAAGTTTCGATTGGCCGTGGCGGCATACTGTGGCCTCATTGCTGGGACCAAGACTTGGGGCTTCCGGCTTCTTAGGATGGTGCTCAAGACAAGACATGGTTCTTGGACGATAGGTTGGTGCTGGATCGACCTTCCGCTGATTGTTGTGATTTGTCCTGGCTGGCTTGTTTTGCGAAATAGTGCAGGTCGGAATAATCTTGCGCCGCATCCCCAGGCATGACACTCTTCTTGCGTCAGCAGTTGCTACTGCAGAGGCGTGCCCAACAAGAAAAATAGCGATGGTACCAGAACGAGAACTACAGCAACCATGTCGACTAAAAACTATAACTACAAAAGTTACATGTGGCTACGACGGCTGGAAGATCAAGAAAGCACATTACAGTACCCTGATACATCAGTATAGCAAGATCACAAAAACATGAGTGTGGAAAGTGATCATGTTGCAATACCAACACGGCGTGACACCACGACAGGGCGAGAGCACGATGAGATGTTTCTTCAGTATGATGCCCTACATTGGTCCTACATGGTAACAAAAAACAACAAAACTTCGAATGCCAGGGCACACAACAAGGTCGCCACACCCCTGATCTAGCCATTTGAGCCCCAAGAAACCACGCTCAGAAGACACAACAGGAATTTGAACCCCCCCCCCGGCGCCCCTCCCCATGCGCACAAGTAGCCCTCGTCGCGGACCCCATGCTCCCTGTGAAAGCCCATGTTCCTGGCCAACCCGGCAGACACCCAAACAACCTCTTAACACAGCGTGATTGTCTCAAACCCAGCAATCCTCGCAAACAAAGCGACAGGAATGCACAAAAGCATCAGCGGGAGTCGCCTATAGTTGAGAACGACAAGACAACCTTTGACAGAAGCAAGGCCATGCATTTTTGCGAGGAGCAGTTCGCACAGCTCTGCCACAAAGGTGGCTGCTTCGTCGCCTTGCCAACCCTCCTGTTGTAGAATCGGGCTCGGGTCTAGTGTTCGAGTTCAGGCTAGGCTGCAGGCCTACAGTATGATGTGGCCTTGCAGAGCTTTTGTAGATGTTCGCTGGGCTTCGGTGTTCTTATGGATTGCTTTAGGATTCACCTTCAAGAAATCTGCTTGAGAGGTCGCGACTCCCTGCGCCTTCTACCCTTGACAAACCGGAAGCCTTCCAGTGGAATCTACATCCTGAAGGTTCAAGATTTATACTCCACTGTGTCCTTGCAGCCTTCATAACAGATTCTCGATGGTGATATGTTCAACCTAAGACTCTCAACCTGAACCCGTCTAGATTCCAGCCCACCGAGAGGATCGACCAGAGACCACTCTGCGACCCAAGGGTAGCCCTACGCCCGCAAGGCCTAGGACTCTTCCCGCAACTGCGCGGCTGAAGTTCTCTGTTTTTTTGTTCTTGTCCAAGCTCCGCCACCGGGCTGTCAGTTTTCAGGGTATAGGGCCTTCGGCTTGATTTACATGTTGATGTCTTCAGGCTGGAGGGTTTAAGGATCAAGGTTGCCCAAGCTGTCGGAAGCTACCTCCACCCCAAACGTCCTTCTGCGCCATCGCTGTGGGCCGGAGGAAGCGTAAACCCAGACTCTCCAACCCGAGCTTCGTTACAGGAAATGTAGGGAAGCAGTGGTAATCACAACCCAATCATGCACATGATGCTAAGAGCCAGAGCCTGAATTCTGCGGCATGCGAGGTAACCTGGTTCCATTGGGGTCTGCGGTTGGGCTCGGGATGTTGGAGTCCAAGCTTCTAGCTTCGGAGTTTATGGCTTCCACCCTGTTGGCAACAGCAAATCAGGACAACTTGCATCTGGTGCAGGCAGGTTCCTGTCACAACCATGTGCTCGGTAAGCTTCATGCCAGAAACGATTCATGGGTGACAGACCTCTGATGCCTTCGGTTGTGGCCAACATCGTGGGGATTTAGAGCTGGTGAGATGTTCTTAAATGACAAATCTTCTTTGGTGGCACCTAACATGTGGTCAGCTGGCCGTATCAATGGCACCCCGTCCAAGTTTAGCATATGTCTGAATGCGCCCGCTGTTCAGGATTCGACGCCTTTTCCTGGTCAAAACATAATCGGATCTTCAAGGGTGAAACTTGCTGTGCTGCTCAACAGCATCTTTTCAAAGACATGCAGCTGAACCCGAATGCTACGAATGGCACTGCCTGCCAAACGGTATGCTGACGGCCCAGACCTCAAAGGGTTTAAGTCACCAGAAGCCGGAAAACTCAGACTGGACCCTTCGGTTGAGGGTCCCGATCTAGGGATGCTCCTACCTCCCTCAAGAGGCTGTGGCCAAGAGCAGGGACTGACAAGAACAGCTGGTCCCCTGAGCCGCCAAGAGAAAGACAGAGCGGTTTCTCGGACAGCCGCTTCATTAGCTGGGAGGCTCTACAGTCAATGGCGACAGCCGAGGACTTGCGACCGGAACCTTAACAGTCTGCTTGGTGACTTCTTCAGGCACTAGAATTGGCATGTTTGTTTCTGGTTCGGGAGCCTGCTGTTGGAGCATCTTACTGTTCCAAACTCCCTAGCCAACCAGATTTTTGCCAAGGGATACGCATGCATTGCACCTTCCACTCAACGGCGAAAGACACCAGACATGAAATCACCCAAAAACGTGTCCTAAGCTCTGGATTCAACCCGTTTCCCGCACTGCACTACCTCTGAGATGTGTGTGCTGGGTTTCTGGCTGTGCAGCTCACCGCTTGGGAAGAATGGAGCTTGGGCTTTCAGAGGCGAAGAGTCCGAATCAAAGCGGCAAGCGGCGCCTTAGCACACAGCCATCGCACGATCCTCCTGTTCCTCCTCCACAATTTCATTCTCGAGCGGCCTGGCCGTGCAAAGGTCCTTGGGTCTGGGGGGTTGGACAGGAGCCTCTGCAAGAACACCAAGGCCCCAAACCCGCTTCCAGCGATCAGATTCTCTGAGCATTGCGAGGGCGCTAGTCTGCCACCAGCCCAAGTGAGTCTTAGCTCGGCAAAAGGACCGGGTCCCAATATGCAAGAGATCGTGTTCTTCGGTAGCAGAAAACTCTGAGGAGCTGGGTCCTCCCCTGCATAAACGATTCCAGTGTCCTATATTGCGGTGCCGGACCCTATCTCACGGGAGGATACGACTACCAGCCGCCTTTGAAGAAGCCGAAATTTGGTCCCTGCTTTTCCTTGCGCTCGAGAGGGCTCGAGCAAATTCACTTCGCGCCTGGATGCCGCAGGCGTTCCCTGGGCTGCAAGCTCTGTCAGACGTCTAGGAGATACGGAGCCTTTCAAGCCTCAGGCTTGAAAGCTTTGGGAGGCTTGGGATATCGTCCTTTGCGTTGGAGATCGCTGCTTCGGGGTTCAGGAAAAATCTGGATCACAGAGACGATGCACGGCCTTCTATTTTGGGTTTGGGCACTTCATGGGACTCGGCTACAGGAATGCTCACTTCTTCCCGGAGCAAAACGCTTCCTAAACTCTGAATCCTTGAATCCGGCTATGGAAGGGACCTCTGCCTGTGCCATTGCGTCATTGTGGAACAATAACTATCCGAAATCCGCAGCCTCGAGCTTCACGTGACTGCAACCGAACCGGGCGGCTGATGCATTGCAGACGTGGGCCCTGTACTGATCAAACTCCTCGACAGAATTAGGTTCGCTCAAGGTAAGAAAGGATGCTTGCCTCCTTCTTGTTGCCTTCAACACAATGCTTGGTGTTCTCTCGGCAAGCCGCCGACAGGCGTTTCAGGCTGTTGTTGAGAGGTGCCTTTTTGTAGACTTCACACTTCCCCCACCCCTCACCATCCCTCTCTGGAAAACCTGCCGAGTTACGGATGGCACTGCAACCGAATGTACCTCTGCACCCCAACCCTTGCGAAACAAGAATCAGAATCATGTCTACGAGCATCGACAACATTCCGATGACGGCATGACACTACAAAAGCCAGTCAAGTAAAGAACAACAAACGCACTGGGCAACTTTACTCCTCATAAGAAACCGATATGCAATTGTCATCTCAGAAGGTACCTACAAAAGTGACTAGCGACAACGTGAATCTGTCACAACTGTGGTCGTACCCACGACAAGAGAATGCAGAACCATGGGACTACTATTAACAAGAAACAGCCCAGAGAAGACCGAACATGACACGGTTTGAGAAAGAAAAAAGGATCAAATCCTGAACTCCCCATTGACCCCGCAGCCGAGTAAGGCAAACACAGCACAAGCTACAACCACACAGTCTGCGCCCCTGCACCCTCCTAGAGACGTACCCAGCTGCCAGTCCTCGGGAGTCACATGAAGCCTCCACTCGATAAGCTGGAGAAACTGCCCCTCCAAGATGTTCACTTCTCTGGTCTTCACGCCTCCAACCTGCGTAAAGCTTTGCTTCGAAGAGAAGACCAAAGCCACCGATTGCAAAACTGGACACGCTTACCTGAATATCGACGAAGTCCCCCGTCCTCGAACAAAACATCGGATCCGGAGCCTCCAAGCCCTAAGCTCAAATCTCTTCGAAGCCTCGGGCTGCAGAAAGCAGCTCTTCAGTGACAGATCGTGATTAACATGATAGTCGCAACAATCGTAGCAAGCAGAACAAGCGAAAACTATTGCTTTTTGTGAGCATGCCGACAACTATCACTCTTGTTCTTGAGATGCTGATCCGCATTTTGTGCGCACCATCGTACTACTGTTGCGCCTCAGCCCCTGCAATGTTCATACTTCTTCTGCTTATCAGCACGATACTGATGACCTCCTTCCCTTGGACCCTTCCTCCCCCCGGCCTTGGCATAGTAGGCATTGCCTTGGCGAGTCGTGTTTTCAAGATCTCTGGGCAAGGTGTCGGTTTGTTACGCGGGGATGACGGTGCAGGCTTAGCTACTGCTTCTGGCACTGAGTCTGAATTATACACGAGCTTCTGGAATTTACAAACTCCGATTGGAGACTTCCAGGCACACAGAAATCCGGAAGTAGTACACCCTGCACTGCATTCTTGAAAGATGGTAATCTTCGGGCATGAAACCCTATGTCTATCTGAGTTGAAGCCTACTTCAGGGGTGTAATGTTGAAGGCCCAGCTGCTGTAATAAACGTCGTCGAAGAATTTCACTGCCAGCATCACGCTGGTCACTAGCAACCTGCAGTAGGATAGCCGATTCTCGAAGCAGTCGCAGTCTTGGTGCACATGGTTTTGCGACCCGCGTGCAGCGTTGGAAACCCTGCCAAGCGCAAGCTCCAGAGCACCCAAGGAATGTGGTGCAAGCTCTCACGTTCACTTCTTTTCGATCTGCCGACCGGTCTGAGTCTATTGTGTCTACATGTGTATACACCTTTCTGCATACATATTCATACATATACATTTACATATACATATACATATACATATACATATACGTATACATATACATATACCTATACATATGCGTATACATCTACATATACACATACATATACATATACAAAAACATACATATGTAGAAATATATACGTAGATATATATATATATATATAGAATGTATGTCGGTGTGAGGACCTGCTTTTCTCGAGTAAACAAACCTTTTTCATTGCTTTCTGGTCATTTTAACTGACGACAATATGATGACAGTTGATGGGTGTTCAACCCCAAACAAGATGATGGGGTAACCCAAAATAGATTCTGCTGACCCATGATGGATGCCACAGCCAAGATTCAAGCCAAAAAAGCAAATATTGGACAGCACAGCTATTAAACCTTGAAAGCGGCCAAGTCCCAAATCGGCATCTAGGTCACCATAACCCAAAACCCTGCTTTGGTAGATCGGAGAGCAGAATCCAACACCTCAAAAGGAGATGAGGAGCAGTTTATCCTACAGACGCAAAAAGTATTTGGAGATGTGGCGGTTGGTAAACCTGAACCCGTATCATAGGCCCTAAACCCCAACAGAGATATATCAAAACCCAACAGGAAAGATCATACCCTGGACTCAACATGATGATGATTGATCAAGCCTGCAGGGCTCTTGTTTCTTCACCATAAAAGAGGATTGAAGGCGACCCATGTACCATCGCCCTGCCCAGCCCAAACAAGAAGATGTCACTTCGATCCCAGAGTCTGGCAATTCTGATTGAGATATGTTACAGGCTGAAACCCGACAGCATATGATCGAGGTTCCTTAAAAACATGATATGACATCAAAAGCATCAAACTTAAATGATAAAATGAGACCCAAATCCAAAGTCTCGATAGGAGGTGATAGGACACCCTGATATGAAATCATGCGGGGTATCCAAAACCTTGAACTAATACGCAGCTCGTATAGCATTTACACTATCATAGAATGACTTGAATATTCAATTTCGCATTGTGACCATATCCATAACAGTGCCGCCGTATGCCTGTATGCGATGACAAGAAGCATAAGTAGCGAGTCTGCACACAGCGTTCCGCATGTATGTACTTATTTCGTATTGACATGAAAGCTTGGAACCGGTGGCGCTTGTTCATGTTTATGGGTTGAAACCCGTCATGTTCTTTGGGAATTGGCTTTGCTGCTCAACCTACCTAATTTGTAGTGTTCGGAAGCCAATGCCGGGTTAATGCTTGCGCTCATCATATCTTTCGGAGGTGTTGGGTCTGACACCCGATACAATCTAGTAGGGTTTGTGCTTTTTGCGACATAGTCCCTGCTCTTACTTCTAGGACCTTCAAATACATATTTTCCAGAGCATTTCCAGAGATTAGGGCTACGGAATCTTTGGGACTTGTCTTCCGCACCGATCATCCACAGCCTTGGGGATGAAAGTTCTCTTCTTGGCGATGCCATGTTGGAGCGGTGTTTGTGGCAACAAAGTCATCCCGCAGAGCTTGGGACGCCCATCACCCATCATCTCCCTTTATGAGAATTGGATTATGTTCATCTGAACGGATGGCTCTCACCCACCATTTACGTAGTGGTAGGATATGTGCGTTTTTTTGGTGGTGCCCATCATCAAGTTTTGGAAATAAACAATCTGAGTGTCTATCGTGAAAAACACGGAAAAACGCGTGTTTCGATCGAAACACACAAACCTTGGAAGGGACCAAGATGGTCCCTGCCCAAACATGTCAATCCCATGACCCGACTGAACCTGTATGTTTCTGCACGTGTCTATTTGGCGATTTACATGTCAATAAACCGGTGCGCGAACATTTCAATGGCAGACCCATGGTATAGCTCTGTTTTCGGGAGAGTCTCTCAAAGTCTGGGACACTCATCATTTCTTCTTCCCGGATTGGGTCATATTCCAGCTGAGCGAACGGGTCTGCCATCCACCATGTAATGTTAGGGTATGCACGATTTTGGGTGCCTGTCATCATTTCTGGGAATTATACATTCTGATGATCCCTTTCAAAAAATCAAGAAAGGAATGCTCCGGTCGAACACACAAACCCTGGAAAGTGGGAAAAGGGTCCATCCCAAGCCTTTCACCCCATGGCCCCAATGAATCAATGAAATTGTCCGCTTCTGTATGTATATATGTGGTGGCTTGCCTGCAAGTAATCTGCAGGCGGATATCATCATAGCCTATGTTTCTCTGCACAATGTAGGAGTTCGAAATATATTTAGAAGCCAATCATCCACAGACTTGGGGATGAAAGTTCTCTTCTTGACGATGCACTGTTGGAGCGGTGTGTGTGCCAACAGAGTCATCCCACAGAGTTTGGGACACCCATCACCCATCATCTCCCTTTATGAATGTGTCTGTATGTATGTATATATGTATGTATATGTGGGGTGCATCATATACATACATATATATATATATATATACATATACATATATGTGTGTATGTATGTATGTATGTATACTTGTATGTATATATATATATATACATATATGTTTAGATGTATACATATACATATACATATATACGTATGCGTGTATGTATATGTATGATTGCGCCCCGGCGGGCCATCCGAAATGAGTACTGTGCTCGTTTTCTTACGAAGTAAAGTTTTCTGCGGCCAGTGCACCAGGGACTGCATGTCAGTAGTATCAATTGCAGACTATAGATATTGGAACTTGTGTGACCTCTTTGATTAGTTAACCAGGAACCGGAAAATTCAAGCTAATCACCCCAAATCTTGACGTTAAATCTTGAAACCTAACCTTAGCAAGAAGACGCAAGCCAAGGTTCTCATACTTATGTTTCTGACTTACAAGACTCCGACCAAAGTATTGGCTACCAAGCTAAGCTAACATACCAAACAACCAGTTTTGATCCTCGTTGTTTCTCTCATGAATATGCAGCATCGGAAATTTGCTGCCTTGTGTTCCTTTCAGCTTCACCGGCCCTTGGTGCTATTTCATTCTGGAGTTTTTGATTTTTTGAGCATTACAACGTTTCGTGTTCTGAAATTCGCGCAGCACTGTAGTTTTTTCCAATCCTGAAACTCAGGAAACCCTCATGAATGCTCCAAACTTCAACACTCCAACATGTTGAAATGTTTATCACCCGCCTAGGCATCGATGCCAGATTTTTTGTAAGTTTTAATTTTTTAGCATTACAGTTGTTCGTGAGTTTGAGGGTTGGTCATTTTGGAAGTTTTGAGCAGTACAGTGTTTCGTGTCTTGAGTCCAAACATTGCCATGCTAAAAGAAATCCAACATTTTCAATCGTGCAACTCACCAAAAAAAACCAACAGTTCCGACAGTTTGCAGCTTTTCGCACCACGCCCAGCCATGGATGCCGGAGCATCGCAGCCTTTGGTGCATCCCGCGCCCCCATGAACCACCCATATGGTGGATCGTGGGTATCAAGGAGCTTGTTGGCACGCCTTGGCAGAGTTTGGTGTGGCCAACAAAAGTCTTGGTACACGGCAGGAACGAAATCGGATTCAAGGATTGACTTTCAATCCGGGCCCGGATTGAAAGTCAATC